TCAGAAGCCTCTCCACTCTGGGGCTGAAAATCCAAGCACCTGACAGGCCCTCATGCACCTGACATGCACCGCACCCCTGCACATCCTCCCTGACCCTCCCATGCACCCCCTAGCTCCCTCCTACATCCAGCAGCGCCTGTGGCTTGCAACTTCCTGCCGGCTTCCCCACTGACTTGATTGTGGGAAGCCGGCAAGAACTTGCCTCACCTAACAACCCACAGTTCTTGCTTAACAATGGCAGCAGGGAGTGCCAGGATTGCAGTCGCTAAGAGAAGTGGTCACATGATGATTTGCTTCACGACAGCATCACTTAGCGACCTAAATTCCGGTCCCAATTGTGGTCGCTAAGTGAGGACTACCTATATCACATAACTTCGTTTTTTTAGCTTCAGATGCCAAACTCTTTTTTAAAAATCTAAATTGTATACAGGCAATCCTCGTTGTTTGCAGGTTCCATATTTGCATATTTGCCTGCTCACTAAAATTGATTTGTAGCCCTGAAAACAATACTCCCAATGCTGTCATGATTATTTGCAGACATGACAGAGTGGCAAAAATTTTGAGTCGCTGCTCTGCGCATGTCTACCTTCTCTCAGTGATCTTGCTGGTTAAAATGGCCATCAAAAGTAAGAATTTTTAATAACACTTTGAAATGCTTACTTTGTCGGGGTTTTTTTAGGACTTTATTTGTAAGAAATATATATACATTAAATAAGGTATCTTTAAACAGAAGCAGGCATAAAACAAAATTATTGATTAGAATTGATTAGTTGACAAAAATGTGACCAGAATCTCATAGGAACCTAACACTGTATTTCCCTAGTAACAATGACTTGGTATTCACTAACGCAGTGTTCACAGCATTTTTATAAAGTATAACTACTGCAAATAACAAGAATTTACTGTATGTTGGTTTAATCCACGCACTGCTTTGAGTCTTACAATATTAGCTCATCTACCCAGATGCTTTTAATGAGCATGCTTTGATGTGAGTGCTCAAATATAGAAATGTTTGGTTAGTTTGCAATTTTGTAAGGTCAACTGTATGAGATGCCTTGAAAGTTGTTTATAAGCAGCAGAATAAAAATACATTAACTAAGTCACATGCCTCATTCCAGGGTAAGCTTGTTCACCTTCAGACATTGCATGGAGTCCCAAGTAATGGACTAGGCCGTTTTGGGGCAGCTCTCTCCGCATTAGGGGATGTGAGCGGTGATGGCCTTACCGATGTGGCCGTAGGAGCCCCCATGGAGGATGAAGATCGAGGGGCCATTTACATCTTCCTAGGTGAAACAGGCAGACTGAAGGAAACGTACAGCCAGGTAAGTCCAAATGTCAAAAATAGGAAAGGTAAGGATAGCAGATTGAAGCTTCTCTACCTGTGTTGATGCGCCCCAGTCTTAATGGTCTCTTTCCTACTTCCTTTTTCCATGCAGCGGATTTCTGCCATCTCTGTTTCTCCTATGCTCCAGTTTTTTGGGCAATCCATCCAGGGAAGGTTGGATCTGAGCAGGGATGAGCTGACCGACCTAGCCGTTGGGGCTCTTGGAAGTGCAGTGCTGCTTCGGTAAGAACGGGTGGGGTGGAAATAGGCATGGATTGAGGGCAGGAATAAATGCATTAAGCCTAATTGTGCAGGGTGTGTGTGCGCAAAGTGCATTGATAACATCTCCATCAACTTAGGACAGCCTGGCTCTGTGTGTGTGTGTGTGTGTGTGTGTGTGTGTGTGTGTGTGTTATAATCACCTTATGTCAAAAGATCTGAGGGTGGGATTAAAATCAATAAAAGTAATAATTAAAAAAAACTTTGGGGCATGGCTTAGCCTGTGGCACAATAGTGGTTTCAAATTGACTTGGAACCTACAGTGTGAGCTGAGACAGTTGCTATCGCCTGTTGTTAGTTGTGGGGTCACAGCAGCTGACAGCATCTAGCCAATCTTGTCTGGGTTCAGAAGCTAAGCAGGGCTGGATGTGGTTATTACTTGTATGGGAGACCACCAGGGAAGAGAGCAAGGCTGTAGGCTAGGCAACTTGGGAGAAGGCAATGGCAGCAAACTTCCTGCTGCCAAGAAAACTACATGAATGGGTCCATGAAGTCACCAGAAGTTAAATTTGACTCAAAAGAGACTTAACTCTTGTTAATGGTAAAAGAGGAGTTGTGCTGCATGATAGAGATACATGAGGACTGTGAAACAGTACTTCTCCCACTGTCCAGACTAGGTCTGATCAGAGATCTCTGCATTTGGGAAGACAGTTTGTTAAGAAAGACCACAACACCTTTCTTCTGCCTTCCAGATCCCGGCCTGTTTTTACCGTCCTCACTTCACTGAGATTCTCCCCTCACTCAGTCCCCCTGGATGACCCAAACTGTGGAAGCAGGAAAGTTTCTGGAGTTAGTCCTCGTGGGAAAGTCAGTCTTTGCTTCACCTTGAATCTACTCAGCACGAATTGGAACTCTGGTAACATCTCAGTATGATTGTTCATTTGCTTAGTAATCTTAATTTTTAGGTTTAGGACTCTCCTCTTTCCCTTACTTCTTAGGTGTTGATAATTTTCTTTGTAATCCTTATTCTTTCCATCTGACAACTTCTGTTTCTCATCATTGTTCTTACCTGTTCTTCCATTCCATTAACAAAATGGTCCTTTTGTAACGACATCTACTCTGGACAGTCCTCAGTTCCGTAAGAATTCAGTTCCAAAAATCCTTGGGTTCTGTACATTAAATTATATGCAATCCCCTTGTACAAAATGGCATAAAATGGCAGCGACCACTGTGATTTTCATCTTTTAAGCCTCACTCAATCAGGTTTTAGAAAATCTGTAAAGATATGAGTTCAATATTATTTTATTGTTAATCTGAATGTTTAACTTTTAATCTTTTGGGATTTTTTTTTGTTAATTGTAAGGCTCCTTCATGGCTTGCCAGGATATAAGGGCAGAACTGCTGGCTGGGGAATTCTGGGAGTTGAAGTCCACACATCTTAAAGTTGCCAAGTTTGAAAAACACTGATCTAATTGTTAATCTGAATGTTTAACTTTTAATCTTTTGGGATTTTTTTTTTGTTAATTGTAAGGCTCCTTCATGGCTTGCCAGGATATAAGGGCAGAACTGCTGGCTGGGGAATTCTGGGAGTTGAAGTCCACACATCTTAAAGTTGCCAAGTTTGAAAAACACTGATCTAAAACAATTATAAATAGCAATTTATTCCCAAATTAATTGAAAATCTTTCTCTGGATGCTAACTCGTTCATTACCTTGTTTGGCACATTCTCTCAGTCAATGTCCTTTTGATTCAGGTTTTTTTTTCCTGTCTTCCTTTGCACCCTTTTGGTTTTTTTACTAGGTTCTCTGAGAGCCATAATCTCCTTCATCCTCAAGTTTGATGTTAAGCAGACCTTACCACGCCTGATGCTAGAGAATGAGGCACCCAGTTTTTCAGATACTGTCCGAATTGGAGTTATGCCCATCTGTGTCAACAAGACCCTGTGGGCTCAGGTAGACACAATTATGCCTTTATCCAGAGTGCCCAGAAGGGAATGCTAAGAATTGTAGTTGTGTCTGTATAGATCTGTTAAGAAGGCAGCATCAAGGATTTCACAAACTACACTTCACCAAACTTCATTTTCCAGCTTCTTTGGAGAACCCATGGAAACTGTGGTTTTAGTCCACACACCTCCTCCACTCTTAATGATTGCTAGATACTGCTAATCTTTCCTTTTATATATATATATATATATAAAA